AAATAGAGAAATAGATAAATAAATAACGAATAAATAAATAAATAAAGTAAATGAATTACCGAATGAATAAAGAAAGAAAGAAAGAAATAGAGAAATAGAATAGAGAAATAGATAGAGAAAGAAATGAATAAGTAAATGAATAGACAATTAAATAAATAGATCAATAAATAGATAAAAGATACTCACGGTGCGAAGTGCCAGGCGGACAGGGTGGCGGCCTGGCGGCCGGAGCGGTAGGCGCCCGAGGACGGGATGCACGAGTTGTCTGCCCGCACCGACAGCACCACCAGGTGGCACCCCTTGCGGGCCAGAGGGGCGGGCACTGTCAGCGTGGCCGGGCTGTGCAGGGCGGGGCTTAGGCTGGGGTGGGCGGGGCTTGCGCCGGGCGGTAGTGGTAGGGCGTCGGGGCTGTCGCTGTGCGAGGAAGGGGCGGGGCTGCTGTTGGCGTGGTGCGGGCTGGGCGTGGGCGTGGCGCGGAGGTAAACGAGCGGTCCCACGGCCACCAGGTTGTCCACGAAGCGGTTCACGCCGCGGGCTGTAGACAGGAGGTGCTCAGACAGAAAAACCGTCTGAAAAAAAAATGAGGGTGGGGATTGTGGTGGAGGGAGGGGATTTGGATTGTGGTGGGGGTAGAGATGAGAGATAGAGACAAAGATTACCTTTCTGAAAATGCACGTGTTGAACACAACATTATATTATGATGAGGAGGGGAAGTGGTTGGAAAGGGGGGTAGAAATAAAAGATTAAAACAAAGATAAACTTCTGAAAATGAAAGTGCTTGAAGTGTTTGTCAACATCTGGCAGTGGAGAGGGCGAAGTGGTCAGAAAGGGGTTTGTTTGGGGTGTGTGTTTGGGAGGGGGGGGGGTAGAGATAAAAGATGAAAGTAGCTTATAAAAAAAGAAAGTCTCATTTAACATCTGACGGTGATAGGGTGAGGGTTGGAGGATAGACGTAGACACCTGTGTCTGTGGTGTAGTGCTGAGTTACTTCGCCGTCGCACACGGAAAACCGTGTTCGGTTCTCGTGTGGGGAGAATTTTAATCGAGTGTCTTGGTCTTTCTGCAGGCACGTTATAATATACCTCTCAGCCCGAGTTGGGCTGACATGTAGGGTTAAAATCCACCTCCTAGATGGTGTTAATTGTTGGATGCAAAAAGCACCAACATAAAAAAGTGGATGGTTTGCGGGTGCTCTGGTGAGGTTTGCTTCTTCTTTCCTGTGAAACGTCTATCGTCCTTAACATTACCTCTTCCCTTCTTCTTTTTTGTGTTTGTTTCTTCTTCCGCTCATATGACCTTATGCAGTTGCGAGCGCCGTAAAACCTATACTAAAACTATTTTAAAAAATAATAAGGACAAACGCCCAGTGGTCCTACCTGTACAGTGACGTGGGTAGTGTGGGTCACCGCCTGCGCCGGCACGGTCACCATCACCTCCGGTCCTTGGCGGGACGTGAACTGACCGCCCGATGACGTCACGGCGAACGTCTGCCGAGGGCCGAACTGGAGAAGTTTGTCACCTCTTCTTCCTCCTCCTCCTCCTCCTCCTCCTCCTCCTCCTCTTCCTTCTGTCATGTCGTCGTCGTCACTCTCCCCTTCACCGTGATGATGATCATGTTTGCCCACTCTGTTGTTGTTGTTGTTGTTGCCGTGGTGGTGGTGGTGGTTGCCATGGCGATGTCCCGGGTTTTTCAGCAGCTTCCAAGTGCCGTTATCTGTGCGTCCGTCTGAAGATCTGTGACAGGGTGGGAAGACAACAGCAGTGGCATTGATGTTATGAGCTTACGCATATGCAATGTGTGTGACGTGAAATGTCTATTG